AGAAATCTTTTGAAAATCTTGTGATTTTTGAAAACAAAAGATTCTTAGACTTTCAAATATTTCAAATTGGTGTACAGGAAAACGCTAAAAATAAGTTTTACATTTCTAAAACCAAAAATTCAAAACAAAAATCCCGAAAACCGGATTCGAACCCGGGTCGTCTGACTGATAAACGAGAGCGCTAGCCACTCGGCCAAAGTGTCGACTTTTTAGAATTCGAGTTTTTCAAAAAGTTTTACGCTTAAATTCAAGCATGACATCCAGCTTGTATAGTAGATAAATCAAAAAGGCTATAGCTGTCAGTTGAAGCAATATTTTCGAATGATCAACGTTAGTGCAATCGGTATGGCGTAAATTTTCAGATTTTACTCGAAAATTCCCAAAAACAAGGAACACAGGCAAATCCAATAAATAAAAGTGATGCGTTTTGGCGGAGATTTCTGAGATTTTTCAACAAGTGGACTCGGCGATGATTTTTTTTATATAAAAACATCAGCGAGAGAAAAGAACAAAGCCCATCTTTTGGAGAATCGTTGAAGAGAGGACTAAAGCTTTTAGGTGGATTGGAGAGGAGGATGGGAGAAGAAGAGGAGTGCATTTCAGATCCTCAACACTCCCCACCCAAAACTCACCATTCTAGGTGTCTCCAGGAATGCTCAGAACAATACGAGAGAGATCATTGATCAAATTGGAGTTTAAAAAAGTGAAAGATTCTTTTTGACTTATGCACTATTCAAGCTGGATGTCATGCTTGGATTTGTGTTTAAAATGTTTGATGTTTGTTTGAAAAAACTCGAATTCGAAAATATTGACACCCTTATTGACTTTCGACCTTTGGCTTATAGGCTTACTTAAACGTTGACTTAAACGTTGACTTAAATGCTAGATTACAGACTTTCTAGCCTTTCCTGACCTTTCTACCCAACTGGAATGTATTTCTCGTGCTTAATTAATGAATTGTTTTCTCTAAACTATAATTAATCAAGTTTAATCAGAGGAAGCCTACTCTAATCTGCTTTCCCTAGAAAATAGCCTTATAGTTTACGAAAATTCAGGCCTGATCCTTGGCTTTAAGCCTTCTAAGGTTCAGTTAAACAAGCCTGAAGAAAGAAAATAGACTAAAACCCTCATCTTGTCCACTTTTTTCTTCCACTCAACTCCAATTCGTCACCCTAGCTAACGAGAATGACTCTTATTCAAAAAAATAACAGCTAATAGACATTTCTGGCCAAAAAAAACCCACGATTTTGCCTGAATCTCCTCCAATAACCTTTCCGGTCCCCACCTCTATCCTAAAAAGCCCAATTTTCCATCTAGTGTTCGCAGGGTTCGCTTTTTTTACATCAAAAACTCTTTTTAAAGACTTGGAAACACTCAAATAGACGATTTTTCATCTTCCTGGAATGCACTGAGGGTTTTGAATGTTTAAAAAATTGAAAATATAAAAAGCAAAAAAAAACGGACGCTTGAGGAATCGAACTCGGACCCCTTGGCTCCATAGACTCGAAAACCGATTGCGCCATAAAATTTTAGGCTTAAAATGTTAGTTTTAGACTCAAGATCATTCGTGTGCGTTCCAGATTAGATAAAAATTTAATAATGCCCAAATTCTGTCTACCAAATGAAAAGATATTCAGTTGATAAGAAAAAAAAAACACTTTTTAGGGGCAAAACTCGAGTTTTTTTAGGCAAAGGCAAAAAAAAACACATTATTTAGCTGAAGAAAAAATAAATAAGCAAAGTTTCCCTTTGATTAGCTCACTTTAGCCCTTTTTTTTCTTGGGCAAGTTTTGCAGAATTTTTGCTCGAATCACCTTCGCTTAAGCGCCACCTCTTTTATTGAACCACTGGAACACACTTGAGACATCAAAAAAAAAAACCCTCCCGAAAGTTTATGCAAACAAGAATAAAGTTTACCAAAAACAATTTCATTGCATTAAAAATGAAAAAGCAAAAAAATTTGACGGCACCCAGACTCGAACCTGGCCCCCTGGCCTCTTGACTTTGACTTGAAAACTGGCGCCCTACCGACTGCGCCACGAATGTAAAACCTCGAAATGCGAATTTTAAAGTGTTTTTTTATTTCTGTGAGTTCCAGATTGGCTGAAAATTTGAAAAAATCCGAGTTTTTCTGGTGTCAAAATCTCGAAATTGCCTCAAAGTCATACCATTTTCTCGAAAATTGAAAAAATGCGAGTTTTTGTGGTGCTAAAGACTAAAAAATTGCCTCAAAGTCATACCATTTTCTCAAAAATTGAAAGATTCGAGTTTTTCTGGTGTCAAAATCTCCAAATTGCCTCAAAGTCGTACCATTTTCTCGAAAATTGAAAAAATGAAAAGAATTATTTTTTTTTTGATGTGAATTTAGCCAAAATGCCATCCAGGATTGTCGAAAAATTCCCGGAAATTGGGGAAACTTTTGGTGCATTTCCGCAAACGGGCGGGGTGAATGAAGTGGCGGTGATTGAGCACAAGGGGCACCTGATCCCCCAGATCCGCTCGCTACTAATTGCCACTATTTTCGGCCATTCAAAGCCAAATGCTTTCGAAAAACTAGGAAATGACAAAGGCTAAACGAAAAATGAAATCATTCTAAAAAAGTGTCGAAGTTGAGTGTCGGAGTTGAAATTGTAGAACAAAAAAATTGCAAACTTTCTTTTTTCAAGAATTTTCCAGAACCAATGGTCATTGTGAGTTCCAGAAAGCGGAAATTTCTCAAAAATTTTCCCAAATTTTGCCTCTTTTAGCCTAAAACTGGGCCCTTCACCCACCATTGAGCACGGCGTTTTACGTTTTTTTTTTTTCGTTTTTTGCTCGATTTTCTTTTTCTAGAAAATTTTCGTGAGTTCCAATTCGTAGAGTTTTCAAAAAAAATTTAACATCGAGAAGAAATTTAAAGCAAAAAAAACATTGAGTCGTTTCTGTGGAATTGAAAAAAATTCGAGTTGGAGTAATTTGGCCAATTCTTTGCGCAAAACTCTTTTTTTCTTTCTTTTGCTTGTTTCTCTTTTTGTTTAAATCAAAAAAAACAGGTTTGTTTGAGGATAAAAATAAAATAAGCTAGAGAAGTTCAAATAAAATAAGCTAGAGAATTTTGATTTTGAAGAAATATTGATAAAATAGGTTAGAGGAAGCTCCTTTATAGTTCCTATTTAGTTCCTTTAAAGCTCCTTTAAAGCTCCTTTAAAGCTCCTTTAAAGCTCCTTTAAAGCTCCTTTAAAGCTCCTTTATAGTTCCTATTTAGTTCCTTTAAAGCTCCTTTAAAGCCCTTTTTGAATAAAGTTTTCCTTTTTCAATTCATTTATTTGAACTTGTTTGCCTTGTTTGAAGGCTTTATTCTTTTAAAATAAAATGAAAAATGAATAATATAAGATTCATTCGCCTTTTGTCCACAAAATTCGTAAATTCTCGTGATAAATTTCGGCAAGCGGCACGATTTTCCCTTTCAACTTTGGCTTTTGAACGCTTGAGAACTCGTGCTCTCGTCTGAAAATCGTGATTGGTGGGGGGAAATGAAAATTGAAATTATTAGGTTAAGGAAAAATTCAAAACCGACATTACTGTCGGTTTTGAATCCCCGTTGTTGGCAATTTTCCAGTTCTTTTCTGCGATTTCTGCGATTTTTTTCAAATAGATATCAGCTAGACACTCTATACTTTCATATTAAATTTGACTTTCACAAATTTAACAATATTTTCAGGTACAAAATGCAAGACGAAAAGTTTCGACTTCGAGCCGCTTTGTGATATGATTTTAAACAAGGGAAATCGACGAGCCTGGTTGGGAACTTCTGCCCCACGCACCTTATACAGTGCGGTGCAAAACCATACGCCAGCCCTTAAATTTCAATTTTCTGCGGCTCCCGTGCCAGTGACAAAAAAACCGAAAACGTAGTTAGATTCAGGAGCAAAAATAACCCTTAAACCCCAAAAATCGTCGACATAGCATGAATAGGGAGAATTTAACAGCCAAAAGACGAAAATTCACCCGGTGCAAAACCATACGCCACCCCCTCCCCCCCCCCCAAATTTTCGTGTCGTTGTTGCATTTTTGTTCAATTTTTATGATAACATGGTTTATTTATAACAATAACAATTTAATATTTTGTTGTCTGTCCTTTGTGTATTAATAGGAGGAATGTATTCTATTCATGCTATGTCGACGATTTTTCGGGTTTAAGGGTTATTTTTGATCCTGAATCTAACTACGTTTTCAGTTTTTTTTGTCACTGGCACGGGAGCCGCAGAAAATTGAAATTTAAGGGGTGGCGTATGGTTTTGCACCGCACTGTAGTTCCGACCTGGCCCCATCAGATTATTTTTTGTTTCGGTCGTTGAAGAGTTTTCTTATGGGAGAAAAGTTCGAGAAACATGAACAGATCAAAAAAAGCTGTCGACACTTATTTTGGCTTGAAAGCTCCCCGTTTTTTTGAGGATGGGATCAGGGAATAGATCCTAAGGACTTTGCGACGAAGATGGGAACAAGTCATCAATAATAATGGAGAATATCTCATTGATTGACGTGCGTTTTTTTATGTTTTTAGCAATAAACAGTTTTGTGACAAAAACCGACATTATTTTTTCCTCAACCTAATAAATCCCAAGGTCTTCAAGCTAGGCTCTGTCCAGATTTGGCTTCTAGCTTTCTTTGATCTTAGCTTTGATCTTAGCTTTGATCTAAAGATAAAGATTTGTCTCTCTTTCTTCCTTATCTTTTCTATTTCTTCTTAAGGAAATAAGGCTCAAATAGCTCAATGGTAAAGCATTTGTCAAGCAGAATCAAGCTTCGGAACCGTATTGGAACCGTATTAGATCAAAATAGGAACCGTATTGGAACCGTATTAAATCAAATCAAGCAGAATATCGATAAGCAAAAGATCAGGCGTTCAATTCCACCTTGGTTTCAAAATTCTTTGCCATTTATTTGCCAACAGAAACCAGATTCAAGCATGACTTTCGAATCATTTCCTCAGGAAATGACTATGACTTTGCGGTAGGCTAACCTGGGCTCAATTGGAAGATGACTTGTCTACTGATTTTTCCCCTTTCAAACCTTTTCCTCAACTTTCCCAGCACCCACACATAAAGAATCGGACAAACGAGAGCATAGTAGGGTAAAACCTGAAATGATTTGTGCTGGTTATTTGAGTTTATACCTTTTTTTTAAACTATAATACAAAAATATCGTTGTTGTAACGTAATTTGAAAATCCCCCGAGAATCGGGATCAATCTAAGAATTCTAACAAGAAAATAAACGTGAAATTTGTCTATTTTCATGTAGATTTTTGACTTTTCATCTATAAAAAAATAAGAAAAAAGACTTTTCTTCTATTTCTTCTTTTTTTCTTCTTCTTCTTGATGAGTTTAAAATCTCTAAATTATAGAGTTAGAGTTAAATTATAGAGTTCAATTGCGAAAGTGAATCACCCCGTGAAAATCTTACAAATCTTTACCTTTCTTTTGTTAATTATAGGTTAATAACTTACATTTTGTTCTTAAAAGTTTAGTTTTTTGACTTTTTGATTTTCTGACTAGTTAACTTTTAAAACTGACTGACTTTTTAAACTTTTCTTGCTACTTTAATCTAATCAAGACCATCATACAAAACTTTATATCTGAAATATCTACATTGAAAAGTCCTTGCAAGCTTTTGCGTGTGACGTAATCGATTTGTGAGATAAATGATCGTTGAATGATGCCGAGAACGTTGAAAACATAGATCATGCAAGTGTGAAAGATGATGATCGGTAAGAAAGCCTAATTTTGAAGAAAACAATGATCAAAATGTCAATTTAGTAAGCCCATTGTCGTTCTTCAAAGTATCCCCATCTGTAAGTACTCACCTGTAGCACCATTTCCGAGTATCGTAATGAATACGAGTAGTGCAGTGATGTGATAACTCTAAACAGTTGATTTTTGTCAAAAATTTCTTTCAACTCACCTTTTCTTTACCCTCCAACGACAATAAAAAACTAATAAAATAGCTGAAATGAGAGTAGTTGTGTCAATAACGATTAAGAATGACGAAAGCACGTTCATCATTGGAATAATCGTCTGAAAAAAGTGACATGAATCGTTGAAGATTTCTACAGAAATTGTCTAGTTACTAACTGGTGTATCCTCCAAGCAATGCAACACTTGAAAATCGTAGACAAGCTCGGTTGACAGAGCCCAACATGTTAAAGTAACCATTGCGCAAATCTAGAGCTGATGAATGTTAAGTTTTCTTGCTCACTTCGGCAAAAATCAGGAACCAGACGCCACGTGGATAGGGTTGTTGCGAGAGAATGACAAATGCTCGCTCAAGAAGAATCATGAAAAGAGTCGTGGAGAGACCTGTCGAGACGCACATCTGAAAAACAACTTTCATCCTAAACCATTGATAGTTTTCCTAGTCTACCTAGTCATTTGGTTGATCAAGAGTTGAACCTGGCTTGGCTTACCTAGCTTGGCTTATCTACCTTGGCTTGCCTGCCTTGGCTTACCTGCCTTGGCTGGCTTAGCTTACCTAGCTTGGCTTACCTAGCTTGGCTTACCTAGCTTGGCTTACCTAGCTTGGCTTACCTAGCTTGGCTTACCTAGCTTGGCTTACCTAGCTTGGCTTACCTACCTTGGCTTACCTAGCTTGGCTTACCTAGCTTGGCTTACCTACCTTGGCTTACCTAGCTTGGCTCTACCTTGGCTTACCTACCTTGGCTTACCTACCTTGGCTTACCTACCTTGGCTTACCGGGCTTAGCTTACAACTCTAGTGGCTCATTCATCTACTGCTTCCTGGTTTCTTTGTCTAACCTTTGCTATGCTTAATCCATAGCAAAGCAAACACTTACCCATATAATTTTCAACGGTAAACAATAGAAAGCCGATAAAACGAGAGAGCATGGTTGATCTCCGTGCAGAAGCCGCAGCAACAACAGTTGTCCCTAAATTAAGGAGAAAAGTCCCAATTTTTCTACTACTCACATGAGTGACAAAGTTATTCAAAGCGTACACGAAAAGGATCAAGATTTTGAAAGTGATCAATCTCTGAAAAACTTATAATTGTTTATTGATCTAAAAACATACATGACTCTCATCGTGGATTCGAAATTTTCCATTAAGAGAAAAGCGTATGATCAAAATCATTGACACAAAACTGATCACCACTTTGATGTTATTCTAGAAAAGAAAAAGATTTCTTTATGAGATATTTAGCCTTGATTGAAGCATTGATGAAGCCTTGATTGAAAGCTTGATTGAAAGCTTGATTGAAAGCTTGATTGAAAGCTTGATTGAAGCCTTGATTGAAAGCTTGATTGAAGCATTGATTGAAGCCTTGATTGAAGCCTTGTTTGAAAGCTTGATTGAAGCCTTGATTGAAAGCTTGATTGAAAGCTTGATTGAAGCATTGATTGAAGCCTTGATTGAAGCCTTGTTTGAAAGCTTGATTGAAGCCTTGATTGAAGCCTTGATTGAGGTCTTGATTGAAGCCTTAAATCTAAGCTAAAAAGTTGAAAACCTGAATTAAATATAGTGTCCAGAGATTGAGCTGTTCGGCAGCGACACAAAGCGATGGATCCGGTGGTAGAAGATTTGGAAAAGCAAGAAGAGTATAGTTGGTCATTTATCGATTCGATATCGATGTTACGAAAATCGATTTACCAATGCAATTGCTGAAAAACGTTTTCACGATAGTTTTTTTGTGATTTTGACGAATTTTGACTACAAAAACTGAGTTTTACAATCCCCTTCATCGAATGTGATCAAAAAATGAGTGAAAACTGACTGATAACAGTTAGAACGATAAGATGCCTTACAGAAAATCACTAAACTGATAACAATTGCAGTGCCCAATACCGATAAAGCTCAAGTTTTTCGCAAAAATCTTGAGAAAAATCAGAAATATTCAAGATTTCCTCTTCCTTTTCACCTTCACAACTCTCTAATTATCTTTTTTTTTAATTTCTCTTGGGAAAAGAGACTTTTTTGACTACTCTTCTCTGTTGAAAAGAAGGAAATTTAGAAAATAGCCAAGATAGTCAAGCAAAAACTTTTCTGGGAAACAATGAAATCACCCGGGGATTCACAGGGAAGAAAATTCGCGTTTTGAACTTGAAAACAAATGAACTCAACGGGGAAATGAATGACTTTTGACCTGCAATTTAGCAATCAATTAATCTTTTGTACAAGTTGACCGTTTGGTAAAATCGAGTAACGGTTTGAATTGGAGATTTTCGATTTCGAGTAAGAGTTAGCTAAGGACTTGCCTCAAAAATCTGTTCCGCTTTGCTGTTCTTGTCAAATTTTTGGCAATTCTGGCAACGCATTCAAACGTTTAGCATTGGTTTCCAAACATTTTACAGCCTTTTACCAACCTAAAGTGTGTTCCTCGCGTTTTCTGCGTTTGTAATGCGTAATGCGTTTTCTAAAAGGCACCTATTTGAGAAAACTACCGAAGTCAAACTGTTAGCTTACATTCAATTGACCAAATGTTGGTGTCATTCGATGAGGAATTACGAGGCTCATTGATTGATACCGAAGGCGGGCTGATCGAATGTAAACTAACGGTTTGACTACGGTAGTTTTCTCAAATAAATTTCTCCGCTTGCAGCCCAGACTTGAACCCGATTGAGAATGTGTGGGGGACACTCGTTCGAGATGTCTAGAAGGGAACCCAGCAATATTCGAGCGTGAATGAACTCAAGTAGCCTGAAATCGGCTTCAGCCAACAGTGGTCTTCAGCACGAGGAACTTCGGAGGTGGATCATGTATGGTATGGGGAGCCTTTCGAGACGGTGAACTGGTCGGCTTAGAGTTTATTTCGACCCGGATGACATCGCTTTACTATCAACAAGTGTTGGACAAACATCTAGCCGTCTATCTGAACAACAATCCGGGCAATAACTTTACTTTTCTGCACGATAATGCGAGTATTCATGCAAGTTGCTCCACAAGAGATTGGCTGACAGCGCACAAAATCGGCACTGTCGCTCGGCCCGCTTGCAGCCCAGACTTGAACCCGATTGAGAATGTGTGGGGGACACTCGTTCGAGATGTCTAGAAGGGAAACAAGCAATATTCGAGCGTGAATGAACTCAAGAAAGCCATTCAAGTAGCCTGGAGTCGGCTTCAGCCAACAGCGCTCCATGACCTTGTCTCTTCGATGCCGAGACGTCTTTTTGAAGTTGGACTAAAGCAAGGAGGTGCCACACATTATTAATTTATTTGGTTTGTGTTGTTATTTTTATTTCTCTTAACTTTTTCTTGATAAAATAAAAGTGCGTCTATAATTTTTTGACAGCTGATAAAACGTTTTTTGGACGATAAAATACTTTGGATGAGTGAAATGACTTGAAATTTTGCATGGGTTGTTTTTTTACATTAAAGAAACTAAAAATACTTTTCACTGGACTGGCACTTATATCCGGCTCTAAACTAGCAAAAAACAGGGTTCGTCTATAATTTTTTGACAGAGTGTAGGTGCCTTTTAGAAAACGCATTATTCGCGAGGAACACACTCTAGACCAACTCTAGAACAAGATCAGGTGCATCTACCCAACTGTCGCCTTTTGTTTTCCTCCGAAAGCGCTAAGCTCTCTGTAATCAGCCATCCCACTACTACAAAGCACAGTATCGATAAAATGAAATTGAACGAGAGAGTATTTTGAGATCAGTAGCCTTTTCTCTTTCCCCGAGTCTTCCGGGCACAGGGAATTCTTCTGTGATAAGATATCAAAAGACGAACACAAGAGAGCCCCAATCGACCCGACCGAATCTAATTGAAGCGCACAGCAGAAATTTTTTTCAACCAAAAACTTCTTCTGAGCTTTCTTAATTTCCATGTTTTCTTTTCATTTTAAACGAAATTTTACTTGATTCCAGTGGCCAGTTTTGAATGGCGAGCGAGGAGTGTCAATCGCTTCTCCTCTCCGAATATACTGAGTGAGTTTTTGTCTTTTAAATCAACGATTTTTATTAGTCTAAAATCGGATTTCATTTCATTTCATTTTTTCATTTTTTCTTAATTAATCTTAGATATGGTGGCTTGTCCAGTGTTGCCGAGTCAGCCCTCGAGCAAGTGGTATGTGTTTTTGTCATGAATTAAACCAAGAAATAGTTTCTAGAATTAGTTTCTAAAATTCGGAAGAAATTAAAATCAGCTAAAAAAATCAAATTTCTTAGGAACCCTCGGTGCTTTCATGGGAAGAGTTGCGAGTGAAAGTGAAGAAATCGGGCCGTGAACTATTGCAAGGCGTCTCCGGAGTCACTCAGCCTGGTCAATTGATGGCTTTAATGGGCGCTAGGTATTCAATTTGAATATAGCAATCATTTTATTGAAATTCTAGTGGTGCTGGCAAGACGACTTTACTCAATACCCTGCTCAGTCGGAATCTGAAAGGACTCGAGGTGACCGGCAGAGTGCTTGTCAATGGGAATCAGGTAAGACTTCTTTTGGTATTAGACTGAAACCAAGATCAACACCTAGATTGGATAACTTTTTAATCTTTTAATCGGATTATCATTCTTTTCTAGATCGGTCGAGGCATAACAGCTGTCTCCGGGTATGCCCAACAAGAAGAGCTTTTCGTCGGCACACTCACCGTTCGAGAGTATTTGAACATACAGGTTTGAAATTTTAAAATCAGCAAAACGAAATCTTTGCTCAGGCTCGACTTCGTGTAAATGGCTCAAAGGAGAAACGAACGAAGAGAGTGATGGCTGTTTTAAAGCAATTAGGCTTATTGAAATGTCAACACACACGGATTGGAGTGATCGGGGTGAAGAAAGGAATATCTGGTGGGTTTAAAAAGATCGTTTAGAGGTCAGACTTGGCTTTGAATAGATTTAACAATGAAAATGGGGGAGATTTGCTCGTTGTTTAGGTGGAGAAGCTAGACGATTGACCTTTGCTTGTGAAATGCTCTCAAACCCGGCGATTCTCTTTTGTGATGAACCAACAACAGGCAAGTTTTGGCAAAGATTTTAAACTTTAGTAATTAAACCTCTAGGTCTTGACTCTTTCATGGCTGAATCGGTGGTGGCGGTGTTGTCACGATTGGCTCACTCTGGAAGAACCGTCATTTGCACGATTCACCAGGTAATCTTTTCTTGTTAGCACATTTTGTCAGCCGTTTTACAAACAGCCAATAAATACTTAAGATATTCTTTTGATCTGGCTGTCACAGGATCATTTGCTCAGCTGTAACTTGTAAGATTCGTCTAAGTAATGTTTTCCAGCCAGCCTCTCAACTCTACGAGATGTTCGACTCGGTGATGTTTCTCGCGTGCGGGAGGACCGCGTTTCTGGGTGAGAAATGATTTTGATCTATCTTCTTGTGATCAGTTTAAGAAATGATCAAATATCCACAACTTTCAGGCACCCCAGCTGAAGCGATCCGCTTTTTCGAGCGAGCTGGCTACCCATGTCCCCACAGCTACAACCCCGCCGATCTCATCATTCACACGTTGGCCATTGTGCCCGGCAATGAGGTAGACTGAAAAGTTGTGATCACTCTCGCACTTTTAAGCCATTTTTTTTAGATTGAATGCAACCACCGGGTTGAGGAGATCACTCAGCTCTTCGATTCGAGTGAATTTGGGGAGAAATTGCAGAGGGATGTGGCTGCTGTTGAATTGAGAGCGGTTTGTGGGACAAATTTGACGCAAGATCTAAGCACAAATTCTAGGCTCCAGCCGGTCGACAACGGGCCGACCGTTTCGCGCAATTCTCGGCTCTCACCGAACGGGCTTTTCTCGACAATTGGCGAAATCCGTCACTGGCTCGCGCAAAGATCATTCAAAAGAGTGTCATGGTTGGTAGAATATTATCTAAAATTGAACAATTCAATGTTAAATCAATCTTTTCAGGGTCTCTTTGTCGGCCTACTCTACTTACGCACGGAAATCGGTGCACCAGCTGGCATCGATAACATCAATGGAGCATTGTTCTACTTGGTAAGTGTTTTGCAATTGATTACTCACTATCAAATATTGCCCAAATATTTGACTCATCTTTGTTCAGGTCTGCGAGCTGACCTACTCGACTCTTTTCGGGATTCTGACGTTTCTGCCTGGTGACTACCCGTTGGTCGTCAGGGAATATCACGATGGACTTTACAGTGTAAGTTAGACAATAAATCTTACAAGTTGAAGATTCTGGACTTGATGAATTCCTTTAGGTTTCCTCTTATTTCGTCTCTCGATCGCTCTCCTATGTCCCACTATTCACCATTGATGGTTTAGTGATGATGATTGTCGCGTATTTCATGATTGGGTTGAATGTCACTCTTCAACAGGTATATTTGCTTAGATTTGAGCTTGAAAACCCTCAAAAGTGACGAATTAAGTATACCAGAAGTTGAAAGTTTATGTGAAATGACTCGACAAGGTCTGGACCAGACTCCAGACAACTCTAGAGTCTAGCTTGAAGAATTTGTAAGCTGTACGTAAGCTAGAAGCCAGTCTAGATTTGAATGAATTAATAATACTGAAGACTTCTCAATGACTTCAGTTCTTCACATGCCTCCTCATCTCTGTCTTGATCGAACAATCGGCCTCGGCTTTCGGCGTGATGTTGTCAACGGTGTCTCCTTCATATCCAGTAGCTGTTTCACTAGCAGGTTAGAGTCAGACAGCCAGACATCCATTTTCAGTCCACAGTCTAGTACACTTGGTATTGGCTAGATGAGTCCATTACTCAATTATTGACAGGTCCATTACTGACACTGCTATCGCTGACGGGAGGTCTTTACGCAAATGTGGGTCAAATGCCCGCCTACATCTCGTGGATACAGTACTTGTCGTGGTTCCGGTGAGTTATAGATATTGAAATCTTATCGCCAACTCGTTTTCAGCTATGGTTTTGAGGCGCTAACTATCAATCAGTGGTCGGAAGTGTCGGCGATTCCCGGATGGAGTAATGACACGTCCAAAGTGAGAAGGTTTACAAGTACAAGATCCAGCAGAAATTGAATAAGCTCCAGAGTAGATCAGAATTCATCCACTTTCAGCGCGATGCCACTCTCGAGAAGTTGTCCTTCTCGGCGTCAATGCTCTGGCCAGACGTGTCAATCATGGCCGCTTTCATTCTCGTCTTCTATATTATCGGATACATCGGGCTGATGATACGCGTACACCGAGCAAGATGAATAAATATATTGAAATATCAGTTTTTTTTTCTCTTTGTATACTATCATACCTATATTTTATCCACCACTTAGTGCCGATTTATGCCTTTTCTTTTCATCATTGACAGTTTGAATCAATCACCCGATTGCTATTTATGTTTTTGATTTAAAAATAAATGCCTTCAAGTGCTTGACACATGCTAATTTACGTGAAAACCCGGGAGTGGGACAATGCGCCTTTTTTTTGTGCACGCAAAACATTGGCGCTCTTTTTTTTCGCGTTTTAAAAAAGGGGGTAGGCTAATTTCCGCCATTTTATTTGCGCAAGTACGTTTGCGCAACAGGGCCATTTGCGTAACTTTTTTTGCGCAACAAGGCCATTTGCGCAACTTTTTTGACGTTTTTAAGGGACTGGCGCGAAAGCAGAGCGGTGCGCTTTCTAAAGCGTGGATGCGCTACCGTACCCCGCACAAAAATTCTCTTTTGCCATTCTTTTCATTTTTCTTTATTCCATGGTGGGATCGGAAACTTTGTCCGGCTTTTATGGCGAGTCCCGTTAAGTTTTCTTTCCCCTTCGTAAAATCCATTATGTTTTTGTAGTGCGTTTTTAGGGGAGGTAGTCAAATGAGCGCCAAAAATTGAGCGCCAATCATTTCAGCGCGCGTTCATTTCAGCGCCGCACCAAAAATGACTGGAAAACATTCATTTCAGCGCCGAATCAGCCCATTCTGTATATGCATGTTATTTTTGCATTTTCTGCATGATCTCAAAGTTTTTACTGTATGTTTTTATCTAAATCATCTAAAGATAAAAATAATTCTTGGCAGCAAAATAAACCAAAATAAATCATGAACAAAACGTTACTTTGACTCAGAGTGTTCCTTTGTCTCGCCACTTCTTGCGCAGTTCACGAGCCTAAGCAAAGAACTATGTTAACTGTAAGCAAATTGTAAACGAAAACGGCAAGAAACGGTGAAAAAGCATGCTATTGGGGGAAAATATCATACAACTAGCAAATTTACACATTTTCATCAAAAAAACCTTAAATACGAGCTAATCTAACAATTTTTTCCGCGCATTTGATGCCTACTACCGTGCCCTAGGTCAAATGAGTGAAAAAAAAGTGTAAAACAGAAGCAAAACCCTAAAAAACATGCAAAAGCAGCGTAGAAAGCAAAAATATTAAAATTTAGTCGCGCTGAAATGAACGTTTTTAGGCCTTTTTAATTTGGCGCTCAAATGATTGTTTTCCAGTCATTTTTGGCACGGCGCTGAAATAAGCGTGAGCCAAATCGTTGGCGCTGAAATGATTGGCGCCCAATTGTTGGCGCTCATTTGACTACCTCCCGTTTTTAGGGGTACGCTAATTTCCGCCATTTTATTTGCGCAAGTATGTTTGCGCAACAAGGGTCATTTGCGCAACTTTTTTTATCTATGTTTTTGTAGTGCGTTTTTAAGGAACTCTCTCCCCTCGTTCGTTCCCTCCTTTTTATATTGTTTACTCATAGTTTGTTGTTTAAAATTCTAGTACGGTTTTTTCTTAAAAACCGTTGTTAACTCATTTTTTACAGAGATCGTCGTCTGATTATCAATCATCGTCCGGTTATCAAATGAACATGCCCAGACCAAGGTAAGTTGCGAGTTCTTTTATGCATCAGTAGACTTAAATGCTTTTAAACATAGTTAGTTTTTATGGTTTCTATACTAGAATAAGGAAACCACATACTCATACGGACGCCGATGGCCCCTAAAATTGGGCGGGGGTGGGGGCGCAAATGGACCTGGCCAGGGGAATTTGCACTTCGATTCAGGAATCAGGTTAGCCTAGGAGCCACGTGGTTCTAGGGTGCAGAGTCATAGCCCAGGAAAATATCGGGGCCACGTTGTTATTAATAAAGTTTTTGAAATTTTTCACGGCTAAAACAATTTTCATTCGATTCAACGTGTTTGAAAACCTAGAGAAGGTTTGCTAGAAAGCTTTCTAACCTTTTAACTCAGACTTTTTTAGAAGGGACCCAAGAATCCGCATCAATCGTATACTGCGGTCAGACTTTGCGAAGAAATGACGCAAATAATCAACCGTTTCAAGCTTTCATCGGCTATCAGTCTCACTGTTAGACAAAAATACGCACGGAAGAAAACTGTATTGGCTCGACAAAAGCAACGTTTTACTGCTATTTCTAATGGTCGCTTGCCCGGTTGCGATGTTGTGCAACATCTTTCTCAGCTTTTGACTTATATCAAAAAAATTTGATTTCTATTGTTGTCCTAACTTTCATTGTTATCGGTTGCACTTTTTTGTTAAAGCGATAAAATATTTTACCAATGGCTATTAGCTCCTAGAAAGGACTAATTTAGATAAATATTGGAAGATTTCATAAAAAATAAAAGAAAATTTTAAAAAAACAATAAAAAAAAAGCTCAAAAATGAAAATAATGATTAAAAATCCGAGTGCTTAACACAATGTTAAAGTTGCGCAAATGACCCTTTTTGTGCAAAAAAAAAAGTTGCGGAAATTAGCCTACCCCAAAAAAAGCTCGAAAAAGCTAAAAAGCTATTCTAAAACCAATTTCTCTTCCAAAAGTTATTTTTCTGGGTAATTTTAGGGTGTAGAAACCAAATTTTGACATATCATAGCTTGTGGAGGTAAATGGACGGAGTTATACATAGGGAAAAATCGACAATTTTCTCTAATTTAACCTAACCTTTTTATCTTTCAAATTGCTTTCACAAGCGTTGGTATGTGAAACTTTCAATTCTACACCCTAAAATCATCCAGAAAAACAACTTTTGGAATAGAAATTGCGGGAAGTATGGAGTATAAGGGGTTTTTTCCAAAATGAAATTTTTTTTTGTTTGACTTATTTGGCTAAGAAACACCGCAAGGATGCAAGAAAAACAAAAAAAAAATAAATTTCGCTCAGCCATTTTCGGGAAAAATGGTTAATATTAGCTTCTTAGAGCTTTTTAAAACGCGAAATAAGGTGCGCTAATGGGTTGGGTGCGCAAAAACAAAAAGATCGCATTTGTCCCACTCCCGAAAACCCTAAATTTATCTAAATCTTTAGATTACAACAATTTCGTCAATTGCTCCGTTTACCGTAAACCGAGCCTCGACAAACTACAAGATTTAGGGTTTTTGCATAGAAAGATAAACCTGGATCCTCAAAATTCCCTAGTTTTTAAAACTTTTTCCTTCAAAAACTCTTTCAATAAACTCTTTTCACCAATTTTCATATAAATTGTGTATTTTCCAGAGTTGATGAGGCGTCCACCGCCGTCACTTCGATGTCAACTGCTGTGGAAATGCCAACAACGACTTTTTGCATCAAGTAAGCTAATTAAAAACTAATGTTTTTCAAAGAATAGGGGAGTGGGACAAATGCGACCTTTTTTTTGCGCACCCGGACATTTGCGCACCTTTTTTCCCCATTGGCAACCATTAGCGCACCTTTTTTCGCGTTTTAAAAAGCTCTAAAAGCTAATATTAACCAATTTCTCTTCCAAAAGTTGTTTTTCTGGGTAATTTTAGGGTGTAGAAACCAAATTTTGGCATATCAGAGCTTGTGGAAGTAAATGGACGGAGTTATACAAAAAGAAAAATCAACAATTTTCTGTAATTTGACCTAGCTGTTTTGTCTTTCAAATTGGTTCCACACGCTCTGTTATGTCAAAATTTCGATTCTACGCCCTAAAATTACCCAGAAAAACAACTTTTGGAAGAGAAATTGGTTAATATTAGCTTTTAGAGCTTTTTTAAAACGCGAAAAAAGGTGCGCTAATGGGCTAAGTGCGGAAAAAAAAGGTCGCATTTGTCCCACTCCCAAGAATAGCTTCTTTTCCTGGCTTATAAACCCGATTTTTGTAATCTACATAGTCAATAAATGACATAAAACATTTGGGACTTGAGTCAAAAGTTCTTGTTTTTCAGAGTCTGGGGGCCCTTTAGGCTCAACATTGATACTTGTATCTAATTTTTTTTTTCAGTAACCGGTCCTGGCCCTTCCACCCCTTCAACAACGTCAATTGCGTCAAATCTTCGCGCTCGCGGCGATCCGACACTCGTTTTAGACGTCGGCGCCTACACGCCGGATCGAATTCGCAATTTTGGGTAAGCTTTTTAGCTTAAAGTTCTTGTATATTTTCTGAGAACTACTATTGGAACCGTATTGGAACGGTTTTAGAAGCGTAATAAAAAAGTTTTAAAAAAGGAATAAGAAAAAAAAAAAGAAGGGATGGGAAGGGGTGGGGAACGGAAGGGGAAAGAAAGGAAAAGGGGAAAAAAAAAAAAAGAAGAAAAAAAGGAAAAAAAAAAAAAAAAAAAAAAGTCAAATCTAACTTGTCCGAAATCTTTACGATCTCTAAAAACTATATTGTTATTTTAGCATCGTTGCCCACGTCGATCACGGGAAGAGCACACTCGCCGATAGATTGCTCGAGCTTTCGGGTAAGGGTTTTTGATGAGAATGGTTTTTCTCTTGATTGTTAAAATTCTCGACATTTTAGGCCTCGTGAAGCCGGGTGAACGCGAATCACAGATGCTCGACCGGCTACAAGTGGAAAGAGATCGGGGGATCACTGTCAAGGCGCAAACCGTGGCCTTACCGTATAAAGGTGAGCTTTAGATATGGATAACAAGTCAGATCCATGTTTTAGAAAACAAAACCGGTTTAAAATACAAAAAACGACTCGTTGCATGTGTCAAATGAGCTTCTTAAGAAGCTTAAGCCTCCGACCTTTAATAATTTTCTTTTGTTCCAGGCTATCTACTCAATTTGATCGACACGCCCGGACACGCCGACTTTTCTGCAGAGGTTGGGATGTTTTTAAATTCTCTTTAAACTGTTTTGTCTAGGTCTCTCGCTCTCTAATGGTCTGTGACGGGATTCTTCTGTTAATAGCTGCGAATCAAGGTGTTCAAGTGGGACAAGATGTTTCTTTTTCTTATTTTCTCTTTTCCAGGCTCAAACCATAGCCAATTTTTGGCTTGCCTTTGATCGAAGTGTGCAAATCATCCCGGTGATCAACAAAATCGATCTGAAAGGAGTCAACGTGGAAAAGGTGAACTCGGGCTTAGTTTATTTGACTAATTTCATATGGTTAGCATATATGATAGGTTTCACTGAGAATTCAGCCTAGAATTCGACTAGTTTACTCATTTTTTTTTCAATTTCTCTAGTTTATACGACTGATTTTATACAAAAAGCTTGAAAATTTTCTCTATTTTACAATTTTCAGGTGGAAAATCAACTCAAATCGCTTTTCGACTTCAATCCTGACGAAATACAAAGGTAATTTTTGCTATCATTTTCTATAATTCTCATTTTTCAGGATCTCTGCAAAAACCGGTCTCAACGTGGCGCCGATTCTCGACGAAATCATTGCCAAATGTCCGCCACCAGAAGCCGATCCAAAAAAGCCGCTAAAAGTTCGTTTTTAACAATGATTACACTTTGCTGAATGTGGTCTGTTTTAAAGCTTTTAAACCTTTAATCTTTTTAAGTTTGTCTAATTCCAGGCGATCATCTTCGACTCACTTTTCGAGCACTACCGCGGCGCTGTTGCTTTCGTTTTGGTGCGTGAGGGGTCGATCCGGCGAGGGCAACGAATACGAACATACCACGGGGAAAAGGAGTACGATGTTGTTGAGGTTTAACATAACGATTACATTATCATTTTGTACTTTTAGGTGGGTATCATGCGACCGGACATGACCCCCGTTTCAGCGCTAAACGCCGGTCAAGTCGGCTACGTGATTTGCAATATGAAGACGACGAAAGAGGTAAGAATTTTGATAGACAACAATCTTAAGTCTTAAAGCTGACATTGAGATTTAATGAGCTATGGTACATTTTGTAAATCTCACTCTTAGGCGACAGTCGGCGAGATTCTGCACGCGGTGACAACGGACAAAAGCTTGATTCAACCCTTCGTCGGCTTCAAACCCCATAAGCCGACCGTTTACGCCGGGTTGTTCCCTGTGGACACAAGTGATTATGAAGGCAAGGTTTCAACTTTGGTGTTAAATGTTATAACTGCCAATTTGACGATTGTGAAGGTTTAAAACCTTATAGTTGAATGTTGTTTCATCTTGATCAACTTGTTTTTGTTTTAGATTTGAAACAAGCTGTCGAACGTCTCTCCTTAAACGATCCATCCGTCGAGATCATCCCCGACAGCAGTCCAGCGCTTGGTAACAACTTTTTGTAGTCTGTCTATCCGATTTTTCAATCAGGACTTGGCTGGCGTGTCGGCTTTCTCGGCGTCTTGCATATGGAGGTTTTCTCGACTCGTTTGGAGCAAGAGTACGATGCGCAAGTTATCCTCACGCAACCATCCGTCGAATATCGGTAGAGATAGCTTTTAGGTGCTCATATTTTCTATTTCTAGGGCTCATATCAAGGACAACGAAACGATTCGCAAGAAACGCTACAATGGCAAAGGGGAGATTCGCATCTTCAACGCTTCCTCGTTTCCAAGTGATGAGTCGGATATCGAGAAATTCCTTGAACCCATGGTTAAGGTAAGGAAAATCGTTTTTATAAATCAAATTGATATACGTCAAGTTTGTATTGAGCTTAATAAACTTGATTTCAATCATTCTCTAGGTTCGCTTGGTTGTGCCAGCGGAGATGATGGGCTTGGTGAACGGGTTGTGCTCGGAGGCGAGGGGAGAACGCGGAGAGATCACGAGTATCGACGAGGAGAGGATGTTGATCATATGGAGGTAAGCTATCCTTATTTTATTAACTCATTCTCATCTTTCTCTTCCAGATTACCGCTAGCCGAGGTGGTCGTCGATTTCTTCGAGGTAATATAGATAAATTCCTTTATGAGACTCGAATATGCACACTTGTTCTTTGTTTTTCTGTTTTTTACTAAAAGATAAAATTTAGCGCTTGAAAAAGATGACTTCCGGTTATGCGTCGTTCGACTATGAGCCAGATGGGTGGAAAGAATCGCGACTAATTCGACTGAATATCATGATAAATGGGAAAGAGGTGCGAATTTATTTATTGTCTATTGATAAATTTTGGATTTACTCATGTTAATGCCATTGTTTAGGTACCGGAGTTCTCGCAAATAGTCCCAGGGGTCATGGCGATGGCGAGAGCGAAATTGTTAGTGAGTCGACTGAAACGCGAGATACCACGGCAACAGTTTGAGGTTTGTTTTAGGGTTCAGCAAGTTCGGCTTATTGTGATTGGGTCAAGAAAAAGAATGATTTGTAGTATCTAAATTGCTTATCAGATCAATTTTTCGCGATTCCAGGTCCAAATCAAGGCCACCGCCGGGACATCGACGAAAGCTCTCTCGCAAACGATCATCCCGCCGTGGAAGAAAGATTTCTTGCAGCTATTGAAAGGTTGGTTTTAAGCATAATTCTAGGTACTTTGAATTTTGAACGTACATATGGCCTTAGTGCGGTACCAAAAGGAAGCAGTAGTGGTTTCTAAAGCCGTGTCTGACTACCAGAAGCCTGGTTTCTGGCAAAAATCATCAGACAGACAAGTCAACTTAGTCTGGTTTTGTCTAGCCAAAACTTTCATAAAACCCAGCTACTTTTTTTCCTTTAGGCAACATAGGCAAGGGTGGAATGGAACGGCTAAACAAGAAGTTGTCACATCAGAAGAAAGGAAAAGCGAAGATGAAAATGCTGGGAAATGTGCAAATACCGAAAGAAGCTTTTTATAATGTTTTGAAAAATTAGGATTGATAGCGTTAGGGACATTTTAGAATTTTGTGATTGTAGAAATTCTATTGTTTTCTTTTTGTTTATGTTTTTGTGTGAATTTTGATACGGGTTTCCTTGTTTTTTTTGTGAAAATAACAAATTTTATGAGAATTTCTAGACAGCGATGAAATCAAGGGAAGTAGAGAAAATGAAACAATTTTTGAGGAAGAAATCAAGTTGAATGCTAAGGATTACGGTGGGATCAGGTCATGTTATAGCAATCGCACCACGGTAACACTTACGGATCATTGTTGGAATTGCAAGGGTGACTCGATGGATAAGAACGATGAGAAATCTAGATGAACCAAGGTAAAATAAGGAGATTAAAAAGGATTAGGGAATTTTTGAGGAGATCAAGTTCTAGAGATATGTTTATGTAGATAGAAGAGCTGAAATAAGAAATTCGTTGGAAATTGGAAAAATTGGTCAAATTTTTGGATAAACATGTGAATGAAAACATATATGAAAATAAGAGAGATCAAGTTGGAGCGCACATAATCGATTGAGGTTTACAATTTTGAGATTAGGGAAAGATATATATAGGACTAGAAAAGCTTGACTCACTCAAGACTCTAGCTAAAGCCTGTTTCCTAAAGCGCATCTTTTTTCTCGACTAGTCTCTAGTTGTATTCTTTATGAATCCGCTTTATAATTTGAATAGATACGATAAATAGAATAGAATGAATAGAATAGAGACGATAAAACTGAAGACTAGATTACGATAGTTTTAAGAAAAAAGACGTTTTTTCATGAAACGGATCACTCATTGAGTTTGCTTAAATGGTAAATGCTGCGAATTGGAGAGCAAATCGGGGAATTGCTTCCGGATTTGAGTCGATTGGGGTCTTTGGTGCAGGTGGATCGATCGGTGACGAGGGAAGCGAGTGGAACACGGTCACGTCCGCCTCATGATCGTTTTGAGTGACGTGGCTAGAAGTTTAAAGGACATAATTTAACTCCGCAATTGACTCAATTGTCACTGTAATTCGAGTTGTTTACAGACGCAAAGATTTAGAATTTTTTAGCCTAAAAAAGCTCACCGAGTTGGACTCAACAACGAGATATACGTGGGCATTGATGGCTGCAGATTGGGAACCGGTGATAGTAAAGGAGTTGAGGGGAGACGCCGTCTTGCTGAGGATTGAGCGACACAGTCGACACGATGTGGAGTCATCTCGTAGCCTGGAATCGGATTTGATTCGATGGGATAAACGTTTTGTGTCGGAGCTTTGAGCTCTGAGCTTTGAGCTTCGAGCTTTGAGCTTTGAGCTTTGAGCTTTAAAATTGCCTTCAATAAGCCACTCACCGTCTCCTTTCCTTGCTCGATCCTCTCTTCTTTTCGCCACATCTTTTGATAGCGGAGTGTAGGGGATTTGAATTGATGCAGTGGCGTTTAAGGATCGATTCAGACTCAACGGTAAATTATGCTAAATTTATTCATCTTTTAAAACTCTTCACACTCAAATGACCTCTTTCTGAATTGCGCGAAACACGGCGCACAATCGGCTCTCATCCGGACACCCGAAATAAAGAGACGAGCCATTTTGCGTCACCATTGACACCAATCCGCTTGAGCACGTGATACGCTGGAAATCAAGATCAGCTACTGTTTTTTTGGTGATTAGGCTATGAATGATGGCTCAGAAGTGATGAGTTTAAAAATTTTTGCGTCTCTCACTCACTTGTACATCGTACAAACTCCCAGTCACCACCAGATCCCGCATTTCCCACGAAATAATCCCAAATGAGAGGCTTTTCACAAATAAAACATGATTCAATTGTTTTCCACTTCGTTTCTCTAATTTCTTCAAACTCTTCTCGTAATCGACGAGAAAACCGGCGCCTGAAATGATTTTTTACAGAAATTTTTGTACTGAAATTCTTAACTGGATATCAGTAGACACTTTCATTCAAATAGAATTTCATTTTAAGCACTCTAGTACTTGGGTAAGTAACTTGGGTAAGTAAACGGGTAAGTAAGTAACTTGGGTAAGTAAACGGGTAAGTAAGTAACTTGGGTAAGTAAACGGGTAAGTAAGTAACTTGGGTAAGTAAACGGGTAACTAGGTAACTTGGGTAAGTAAACGAAAAATTTCCTCTGTTCGTGATTCTGGATGTCACCGAATACTTTCTTTTAATCAGAGTTTAATCTTTCAAACTTTCCTCACCATTTCCATAGGTTCTCGTCAACACTTTCACCCAGGCATCCAGAATTTTGAGGCTCCCAAAAGCGACAGTGATTGTCCCAGTGCTGAAAGCCACGGTCAATGTGGGACGCATGGCTTTCTTCGATTCGCCTGTAAATTGATCAAATAGAACTTTTAAGCTCTTCAGAATTTGTAGCTGTGTTATGAAAAGGGTTTTTAAAAAAGTAGGAAAGTCGAGGATGAAGTCGAGGCTTAGAATATTTCATTCACTTGAAAGCTTTGAAATCAGGAAAAGCCTAAAGTTAAAGCCTGGGCATCAGCAGATGTCTTAGCACAGTCATTTTTACCAAATCAATTCCTCTAACCACATTTCCCTCACCTGCAATATGGCCAATGTAATGCAAAATGTTGTGATCGACGAGTGTCGTTGTTTGCGGAGGATCGAAGGATTTCCAACGGCGCTCGCTTTTCTTCTCCAACTGAAAACCTCTAGTGATATCCAGCTCAATCCTTTTTGTAATTAAGTCTATCGTAAGCCTTTCTCCTCTTTTTAAAAATCTCACCCACCTTTTTCTCGACTTTCATTCTAACCATTTCCCCGCCATTCACTCGTTCCATTGTCACCTGACCGGCAATCCACTGAAACAATAAAAAAAATCATTACCGTATTTCTTCGAATAGAAGACCGGGTAAAGAGTATGATCGCGTACTCCTGCGTAGCATCGCGTACTCCTGCGTAGCATCGCGTACTCCTGCGTAGCAGCCCTTTTTAAAATTTCTTTTCTGCATAAAAGCTTACAATGAAGTGCTATAGGGCTGGAAAATGGCTCAAAAATGGCTCAAAAATCGGTTAGCTCATGTGGTATTTTTGAGTCATTTTCCAGCCCTATAACACTTCATTGAAAGCTTTTATGCAGAAAAGAGATTTTAAAAAGGGCCTGCTACGCAGGAGTACGCGATGCTACGCAGTACGCAGTACGCGATCATACTCTTTACCCGGTCTTCTATTCGAACAAATACGGTATCCTACTTTTTTTCTATAAAATTATTGCCAAAAATCGTTTTTAAAGGGTTAAATTTTGTTTATTTAACCTTGCTCTAAAAGATTTTCTTCTTAGAAAATCGCTTGCTTTAAATTGCTAAACGATTTGGCCATTCTGGAAGTCACCGATTAACTTTAGCGTTAAAATTGACTTTTGTGTTAAATTTTAGAAAAAAAAACTCACTATTCAACTGATAATTGACTATGGTAAGTAAAAATATATAAAATTTCATCCAAAAAAAAAAACAAAACATTCACCTTTTTCTTTTTCTTCAAAAACAAGCACTCCGAGCGAAGGATTGCGGCCGATTGGATCATCGTGGCGGCGTTGAAACAACTAGAATTTGAAGATTTGAAGATTTGAAGATTTACCCTTTCAAATTCAACTATTTATACTTTAAACTCACTAACATGCAATTAAAAACAAAAACTTCCTCTAATTTACCCAAATTCTCGACAATTCCGCGCACCTGTCCAACGGCCTCACCTCAAAAGACGGGAAATTATTCGATTTCTGCCAAAATTCCCCTTTTGTGCGCTCCAGCTCGCAAGAAATTACAGAAATTACAGAAATTCTCCGCTTTTTGTGCGCTGTTCAGCTCGCCAATGAACGACAGAAATTCTGCGCTTTTTTTTAATGACAATTTTGCGAAGAAAGCAAGCCGATTCGGGTGAAATGGCAAAAAGTGACAAAAATACAAAACTGGAATCGATTGATTGGATATTGATTGTTTTCCCCTTTAAAAATCTTAGAAATAGGTTCATTGCATGGTTTAAACTGACGATGATGATGATGATGATGACATCGTAATGATGATGATGACATCGTAATGATGATGATGACATCGTAATGATGATGATGACATCGTAAACAATCGTAAACAAATGAATGACAAAATGAATTATATTCATCGGTAGTGTAAGATAGGAATGCGGTGAGAATTTCGTTTCTAAAGACAGAAGATCGAATCGAATCGAATCAAAATTGATAAATGATAAATGGTGATGAATGGTGATAAATGATATGGTAAAAATCATGAAAAAAACATCCAAATTTCGCGATCGCAAAAAAAATCATTATTCACACCATACCTACTACCTGGAGCCACCAGAAAATATTATTAAAATTTGGAACGAATTGGATTTTTTTGCTTTGGAACCCCGTGTAGTGTCGTTTCATGAGTTTTTTGCTGCCCCTGCGGACCGAAATCCTTGGGATGAATCCAAAAATTCACAGCGGCTCCCTTCAGCGCCCTTTTACAGGCACTTGGGATCCCATTTCGACCGGCGGAGAACCCACCATTGTGGTCAAAATGAGCCGGAATTGGGTTTGCCAATTCTACAGCCGTGGTTAAGTTTTGAGAAGCGGTGACCACATGGGGCAGACAACGGATTGGCTACCGGATGACCCAAAATGGACGCTTCCGATTGAATGAGTGAAAAGGGAACTATATGTGGAAACCTTTTATGCCAGATCGAGTGCGATTGTGCTCGCGCACAGTGAACACAACGATCCTCTTTTTTTGCATTTTTCCAACATTAATGTTATTTTTTTAGTTGTTTAATGTTTTTTTTAATGTTTTATGTTTTGTTGGTTTTAATGTTTTTAAACATTAAAACTAACACTTTCGCGCACTAAAATGCACTAAATACCGTGATCCACTTTTTTTGCGCAAAATCATTCTTTTTTGCAACAAAATTCTTATGGTTGTGGCTCATATGGTGGTGGTGAGCATGGTGGTGGCTCAGATGGTGGTGGCGATCATGATGGTGGCTCAGATGGT